CCTATAGAATTCCCTTTAATGTAGAAACGGAAGCCTCTTCCACTCATTGCTGAAAGCTTTCTTACACCACAGTTTGAGCGTCCGCAGGTTTTCTTTAGAGAGATTCTGAAATGATAAAGATCCTCTTTTTGGTTTCGGTTTACTTGAACACAATCATTTGGCTTTTTTTTTATAGAATTAGTTTCAGGTTACTGTTAAAGATTTATATTTGGAATCAGATAAGTCTAACAGATTTTTTATAAATGTTTAGTCTGTGAAAGCTGCATTAGAAGCATAAAAAAGAGACTTTTGATCTTACTTCTGATGTTACATCCCCTGTTGATGGAGCAAAATTTGATTTTCTGCATAGATTAAGAATTGTTATTCAGGCTATTTGCTGTAATATGCATCTCCTTACTTTGATACCTCTAGATAAAGCCAAATTGTATTTTAAAGCAACCTGCTTGGTAAGTGGAGGCCACCCATCTGTTCTCTGATGACTTCAAAGGTTTGTTAGATAAAGTTGTCAAACAAAAAGTAAAATTATGACCAAGTAATGCAGCAGCGATAATGATTAGGACATCATGGCCCAGATGAAAATGACCAGGTTTTAATGGAAAAGCAACATCGCATAACAAACCACAACCACAGGGAAGAATGATTGTGGCAGCATCATGCTGATCAGATTATTTTAATGGTCAGCAGGGGCAGGGAAGCCGCTCAGTCTGTGAAATTAGGGCGTATAGCTAAATTAAGAATAATTCTCGACGAAAACCCGTTGAAGGCTGCAAAATCGGAGACTGCAGCTGAGGCTCACTTTCCAGAAAAACAATGAATCTGAACGGGGCTGGAGCTACACAGGATAGATTACATTCTTAGAATGGCCCAATCAAAGTCCAGATTCAAGTATAATTGACAATCAGGTTCACCCCTGAACAGTACCTACTTGCACGCTCACATGTGCAGTTGTGTTTACACTTGAGTGTTAGCATGAGGAAGAGTTGTCCCTACATCCTCAATTCATTTGTTCCAATCAGCGGACCTCCACCAGGAGCAGCAGATTGTAGATAAAGCACCTCATGATCGGTGCAGCAGGCTGTCAGATGCACATGATTAATAGACAGTATGTTGACAGTGTGCCAATGCCCTGAACACACATTATGAATGTTGCACTTCTCCTCTATTGAAAGAGGAACTGTAGCAACTTGCATGCAAATCTCAATCATAGTTCACCCCACTTGAAAAGAAGAAATAAGGTTTAGAAACATGAAAACACATCAGACATATTGTGAGGATATGATGCCCAGGTTTAGCTATGGTTTGGTTTCCTCAAGGTCAGAACAGTTTGCTTTCCGTCAGAGCAAAAAGTGTAAAGGTGCAGTAAGGCAGCCTTTATGCTGGCAAAACTGAGCCTGTAAAAGTCAGATCTTCTACTGAGAGAGCAGATAACCATGCTTTATGCTTTGGCTACCACAGGTCAACTTACAGAAAGCTGTAACCATTTCTCCCCCAGTTTTGTTTGAAGGAGATGATTGTTAACAGTTGTGAATGTTAGATGACTGCAGTAGGTCAGCAAACAAGCATGATCCTGTGTGTGCACAAGTCTGCTTCACACCCGTTCACCACAAGCATTGTAGAGCTGTTTTTCCACTTGCCCACATGTGTGGAGTTGCATGTAAACATGCATATGCACCGCCTGCTTAAAAACAAACAAGATGGTGAGGATAAAAAAGAAGAATTTTTAACCTTTTTTTTACTGTTAAAATCTGTGTGTTCATCTTCATCAGCTTACAAAAAAAAGCTACTCTAAAGGCTATGTTAGTTTCTCTTTAAAGTGCTCTTAAATGTTCCTTACTTGATGTTACATCAATGTTTTGGTGAAACAGGACTTAATCTTGATTGAGAACTAGTGGAAGTAGATAAGGGTGATAGCATTAGGGCCTTCCAAGCTAAACCAAGACTTGAGCTAAACAGAAACACTAACATGTGCAAAAAGCTGGCCATTAGTAAAACATGTGGGTTCTTTATATTAATTATTACTACTTTTACATTGATTTGAATAAGAGCAGTCAAATTTGCATCAGAAATGCACTTTTTTTGCTGATTATTAATAAATTTAAAATTTTTAGTGGCTAAAGTATGTCATTTGCAATTAGCAATGATCAGGTATAACTTCTGCAAACCCAAACCCTCCAAAATCCTATAAACAAATACATGTTAACTAATGCTTTGACCAGTAGAGGTGGGGAAGAAAATAGATTTTGCGATATATTGTGATATTCGTCTGCATGATATAACATCGATCTTTCAGTTCCTAGTATACATAAAAAAAAAATATAAAAAATTACTTAAAACAATAAGGGAAAATGGGCTACCTCTACACCGCCACTCTGGCACCATCTGTAGTTGAGGCAGTCACAGTGGAAGTTGTAGACTGACTAAAACCCAAAACAACATGGATACGAAAATAACTAAATGATCAATATCTTCTGATAAACATATACAGCACTTGCTTTTTTATCTATACATTATATATATATATATATATATATATATATATATATATATATATATATAAATAATCCGCTCCACGTTCACTTAAATTTTCCTGCCGCTCTGGCGAAATCGCTCCACATATTTCCTTTATGTAATTATGCCAGGGCCCTGGGACACACAGCGTTTCAGTTAATAATGTGACTGATACATATGTATTCTCTTATTTAACTGGCTGTTAAATTATCCCACTGTTTACCAGCTGTGAACGTAACACTTCGCTCCATTCATTTTGCCTCGCGTTCCTTTTTAATTATTTCATTTTACTAGACTACAATAAAAAAGGTAACTTCGCATCCCATTGCAAATGAGATAATGGCGTAAAAATGCTTGTATGCGTTTTTCAAAAACCGGCTCTTACCGCAACAATCACTTTATGTAAACCCACTCTGTATTGTTAAGTATAGTTAGTGTATGTTTTTCTATTTTATCACACGATGCAATCCTCATCTCAGCGATTCCATGGTAAAATTGAAACATAGACTATAACAGATTATTGGCAAAAACTACAGCATAGGCATTACATTCATGTTTTAAGTCAAACATGAATTTAAATAAGGTCGAAGCAAACTGGAGCAGAGCGAAATCCTCGCTCTAGCCTTTGAATTAAAAACTGCTCTGCGTTTTACCGTATTTCTTCCACTCCGCTCACATGCTCTGCTCAACACCCATGCACATTCTTACCCCTATTGACCAGCTGTTCATTTTGGACAATGTTATAGTTCTTTTATCTGCACTGGCCCCTTTTTATCAGTGCATTTAGCAGCCATGCCTTTGTTCATGACAGACGCACGCATTGCCCCTCCCTCCATTTGCTATCCGTCTGTAAGGTTTAGGTTGATTACCGTAATTTTCGGACTATTAGCCGCACCTGAATATAAGCTAAATTGCATGATTTGTACATATACAAGCCGCACCGGACTATAAATAAGGTTTTTATGTTTAATTACCATATGGTTCGTGCACAGAGAAGATTGTCGGGAAAGAGGCAACTGTTTGGGGAAGCTCCTATTTATTATCTCTACCGGTACGTTTGTTTTCCATAATGAGGGTTTCACACAAAACTGTCTTGCGCTCACAATGTCCGTCTTTCTCGCTGTCGTTCTGTTTCGTGCCACTCGTGGTAGAAGTCTGCTTCCGGAGGACCTCCGTATTCCCGCGTGCGTGGCTACCATACTTGTGTGTTGAAAGAAAATGTGACATCAACATGGTGGATGGTAAAATCCATAGATTTAGGTATTACCCTAGTTTCCATTAGCTGTAAAAGTCCATAGATAATCTGCATGGTTATATAAGCCGCAAGGTTGAAAAATGGGGAAAATGTCACGGCTTATAGTCCGAAAATTACGGTAGTTCATGTTTTTTATGAAATAAAATACATTACAAATATCGGCAGCACATAGACGGGATTGGTTTGACTGATGTAACGTAATCAGTATCTGCATTCGCCTTGAAAAATTTGTATTTGTGGATCTCAAGTAGAGAATTATGTTTTGGGGGAAAAGTATTCCGGTGGCATCATAATGCTGTTGGGAAAGAAAATAGATTTAGATATTTTTCTTGTCATGTTAATAGATATTCTTGATTTACTCTTAATCAGTTTGAGCATTTGACAAAAAAGATACGGGGATTTACCCCCAAAGACTTGCACTGTCTTCAGTGAAGGTTGGTTCTTTATAGTTTTGACTTTTTGGAGCAGAACACAAATAATTGGCACACCTTTTAGTTACCCGTTCAGAACTACATATAATTATTAGCTCACTTCACCGTTATGTGCTGGATGTGTTCCTCTGTTACACAAAACCCAAACTAAATGATCGGAATTTGTGATTAAAATGTGGAAAAGTTAACTGGCTCTGCAGGCTTTTGCCAGTTACTGTACAAGCCACTTCCGCTGGATTAAATTGCTGCACTAAAAATTCTGCTCTCAAACACAGAACTTGGGATGTTTGACAGAGCTATTATGTCCATGTCCTGCAGTGGGAGCTCCTTAAGGGCTTCTCTTCCTGTAGATTATCGAAAATGAGAAGGTAAAAGCAACGGCTTCTGGTGTTAACGGCAAAGTAAACAGCGGCATTATGCCAATTCTTTTTCAGTTTACTTTGTTTCAGGCTATTTATATATTATTAAAAATATATGGTGATCTATAGAGTTTAGTCTTAAAAAATAAATAGCAAATACAGAAGAAAAGGCACATAAACATAATTGGTCAATGGTGACCCATTGGGTGGGGAATCAAAGCTCATTAAGACTCAAAAGGAGTATCAGGATTGTGGACTGCAGCTGTTTCAGGAACCACCGCATGCAGGCTGAAAGAGGCTGAAAGTGGCTTTCTCCGCGGGGTGGCTGGGCACTCCCATAGAGATGGAGAGGAGCTTCTTCATCTGGAAGGTGCTCGGAATAAAGAAGTTTTCCTCAACTTTGATAGGAGTCAGCTAAGGTGGACATCTTTTTTAGATACCCCCTGGATGCCTCTTGTGGGAGGTTTTCCAGGCACGTCCCATGGGGACGAGTCCCAAGGGATGGCCCCGGGCATGCTGGGGGTACTTTGTCTCTCAGTTGACCTTGGAATGCCTCAGTCTTCCCCCAGCAGAGGTGCAGGTGTCTGGGAGGAGGGAAATCTGTGAGTGTTTGCTGATACTGTTGACGCTACGTCTATAGGGTAAGCGAAAGATGACAAGTATGAGTAAAAGTGTTACTGAAAAGGAATAACTGGAGGTAAAAACGAGGATTGGATCTCTCTCCAGACTGGACACTTCACTACTGGGATTTGCAACATTGTGCTGGTAAAGATTCTCAGTTATCCAGGTCATAGTCAAATTTGAAGACATTTCAATTGAAGACATTGAAGACATCGCTTTCTATCTGGGAAGCTTTTTTAATTCAAAATGACAGAAATAGCGTTGAGTTCGAGGCTTTATAGAGTGGACCAAAACAAAGCCTTGTTTTGGCTTAGAAACATGCAGAATGATTTGCAACATTAAACAGAAAACTAGTCATAATGATTGAATTAGCTAAAGCTTAAGTTCTGATTTTATAAAGCTAAAAGCACTGAAATGCATTTTCATTGCAAATTACAAATTAGGCTTTTGATAATTCTCTTAAACACGTGGATTCAATGCTCCGCCCTTGCTGATTCTATTACCACCCCCAAAGAAAGCACATCGTCATAGATGGATTTCTTAAGCTCAGACTGTGACACCCAACAATAGGAAGCGGGGGGTGGAGGGTTTGGAAGAGTGTTTTCTAGCTTCATAAATCAACGCAGTGTTGTTTATTTATTAATACAGCCCTGAAGCCTGCACCTGGGTCCTCCGGATCTAGACATGCATCACAGAGAATGGAAAGATGGCAAAGGAAGGAAGAGGAGCTTAGATACAAATCCCAGGGGCAGTGACGACAAGCGCGTCATTAAAAAGTAGGAGGAGAGCAGAATGATAAATGAAGATGGAGACAGGGGTGAGGGATTGATAGGTTGATGTTTTAGAAGAGAAACGCTCTTGGGATCTGACATTGCTTAGAGATGTAAAGTCGGGAAGAGAGCAATCGGAGTGTAAGATAAGAAGATTGAAATGAGAGTGGGCAGTCAGCTGGAGGAAGCTATGGATGTCACTCAGCAAGCTGGGACCATGTAACCCTGTTAGTATATTCATGGCACTATGTCTGTCCTTTTACACCAAAGGAGAAAATGAATGACAGCTCAGTCAAATGTTTTCCTCTGCAGTTACTCCTTAGTTAACATTAAAAAAGGCTTTTAGTATTAAAGAAAATCCATCTTCATTGCCATGAACATGTGATAAGATAGATTGAGCTTCTGGAGAAGCAGACAGAAAGCTTTTTACATTTTCTGGGGAAGGCACTGGAATATCTACCATCATTGCTGCTCTGTTTTCCTCATCACATTTTCCTTAACTACTGCTGTATACAGAATGCGATGAAACCTAACCTGAGGCGCCCTGTCTTAAGCCGGGCATACACTGTACATTTTTTCCCCCTGTCAACACTACTGACATTATCATGATTAAAAAAGAGGGACTGGATTGAGACGTAAACCATCTTCACCTCATCCAACAAAAATATTATACCAACACACTTTCTCCACTTAAATTAAACATCAGTCTTCGTGGTCTAAAATCAGTCATTGATCCATTTACTCACACATTCACACACTGATTGTGGCAAGCTGGACTGCAGCCACCGCTGGCCTGGGGCACAATGACAGAAGCTGTATGCAGGTGCCATCGGGCATCAGAGGGTATCATCTCACCACCATCAGAAAGTAATGCCGGTGAAGTTTCTTGACCAAGTTTACAGATTTTAATTAAATTCTTTGGGTGACATGTCCCCAGTTTTTTTTTTAGATGTTTTGTCATAGCAGTTCTTTTTTTTTACCCTGGGAGAGCCACTGACTTTGAAATGCTTTTTATAAAAATACAAAAGTTAATGCTTTGAAAGAATAAACCACAAGTGAGGACCTCTCCTAAAAACAAGGTATTTTCTTTAACATAGAAAGTAAACGCAAACTTTTTTTTAATGGCTGATCAGGACTGTTATCCAAGTCGTAAACGTCATACACTTTAGCACCAGTGTGAATCGGCGCCCAGCGCAGCAAAGCATTATTAACCTTAAATTGCATTAAAGCTGTGATTTGGCAAAAGAAAGTAAACTTGCTGTAACAGAACTCATATCTAGGCACCCAATTGTGCTGTCAAAGACTAATAATTTACTCTAGTTGCTTCAGGTTGAGAAAAAAAATAATTTTCCTCTGTTGAATTCTTTCAGAGTGTACAGCAGCAGTAACTTCCTCTAAACATCTTAAATAATGGACCTGCAAAGGATTAAGCTGAACAAATAGATATCAATTTTGAATTTCTTTCATATTTTGTGAGCAAAGATGGTCTAAAGTATCCATTACTAGGGTTAACCATGTTTTTGTTGGACTTCAAATTCTTCATGCTTGGAGTGTTGCTAACGGAGGACTGTTGATGGATGGGTTCTGTTCCTTCCTGAAGGATCAGATGGAATCTGTTTCCTCCTCTTTACCTTCCAGGATACAAAGTCATATTTTCCTGTTTTGAAGGAACATTTCTACCATTTATTCTGAGCTAATTACTGTGCTTTGCCAAAAGTATTCAGGCCAAAAAGAAAAGCTCACAATAATTAACAAATAGTTTATTTACACACTATAACCTCGATAACTATAGTGGTGATAAAATCGTGCAGTGGAGATTTTTTTTTTTTCTTCAAGTTCGGACAGGAGAGTAGGTCAGAGTTGATATGAAGAAGGATGGTAGTAAGTATTGGGTAAACAGGGATGAAATCTACAAAGGAAATATTTGGATTAATGTCTAGTCACCCCATTTAAAGTCTAGAGCCAAACCCAGTTTAGAGTGTATGGGAAATAAACTTGAAAACGGCTTCAGAGATGCTTTTCTGAGCTTTATCTAATTTAGTAAACAAAGTTTTTGGTCAGGATATTCAAAACTGGTTTGGGCATACTCATTGTAGGGGAGTGGTGGCCTAGTTGTTAGGGCTTTGCGCTTGGAATCCAGAGGTTCTGAGTTGGAGCCCCACTCCTTTGGACTGACACTCTGGGTCCCTGAGCAAAGACCCTTAACCCCCCACACTGCTCCCCGGGTGCTGCACAATGGCAGCCCACTGCTCCCCAAGGAGATGGGTTAAATGCAGAGAGTTAATTTCATTGCTCTGTACTTGTGACGGTGTAATTATAATAATAAAAAAAAGAATTCTACAAAATAAGGACTCTTTCGTGTCTATTTTATTTCTCAAAAATTGCCAGAACTTTGTTTTCCTCTGGTTTTATAATAAGGTGCTACTTTGTGTTTGTCAATCAATCAGTGATAAGTCAATTAGTTCTTAATAAAATACACCTAAGTTCTAAGTTTATGTATTTTTACAAGAATTAAAAAAAAATAATTAAAGATTTGAACAATTGGTAAAGGACTTGATTGATTGACTTTATTGATCTCACAGTGGAGAAATTTACTGATTGACACTTACTAATGGTAATGAGGTAATTTGCAGTGTGTGTGACCAATTATGTTTCTGTATCTTTTCTCTCTGTGTCTCCAGATTGGCCTCATGTCAGTTACAGTTTTTCCAGTGCGGCTGCTGCTCGTCTCTTTCTTCATGTTGGTGGCCTGGCCCTTTGCCTTCACCGCCTCTCTGGGACGTTCTGAGCTGATCCCTGATCCACAGTCATGGTGGAGGAGGTGTGTTGGGGGCGAGGTGTTCCATAGGAAACATTTTATAGGCTTGTTAACCAAAATGATTCTTTAAATATGCGTTTTATCAGATTTATAGATCTTTGTCTTCGGGTCATCATGCGAGCCATGTGGTTCTGTGGTGGTTTCCACTGGATCAAGGTGAAAGGGGAGCGGGCTCCGCCCTCTGATGTTCCCATCCTCACCGTGGCCCCACACTCCTCTTATTTTGACGCAATCCCAGTCACCATGACCATGTGCTCTATCGTAACCAAGCTGGAGAGCAGGAGCATACCAGTCTGGGGCAGTAAGTCATTGATCTTTCCAGGAAAGTAAAGAGGCGATTAGTGTTTTGATTGAAATATTGTTGATTCAGAAATGATAATTTTAAAGAGAGAAAATAGCCTCTAAACTTTAGATCTGCTAGGTTAGGTAGGTCACCAATAAATAAAAATGGTCCAATTCAAGATGCTTCCAGATATCTTTGAGAATATAGCAAAGTACTTTGCTTAAACAAGTGCAACATCTATTAAAGGTGGTATCTAAGAGATGTAGAGTTGTCTAGATTTTGATGCACATTTGACTGTTTCAATATTTTCACATCTGTGTGGCATAGGGCCATTCACATAAAGCTTAAAGGAAAAGCTTAAACAAAAATGGGATTTAGATGTATTGCTTTAAGAAGACAATTTGATTCAGTCAAAAATGACAAAGGTTTAAGTAGTTTTTATTTAGTTTTGACTTCTGATTTTTAATTCTATTTTAGTTGGAATTTCTTTTTAGTATTTGTTAGCTTGCTTAGTTTAGTTTTCATTTTTTGTTTGGAAATGCTTAGTTTCAGTTCTTTTTATTAGTTGTAGCTATAATTTTAGACATAGATGTAATGTATGAAAACCTCTTATACGATACAGCGGAAAAAAAAAGCTAAAACAGGTAACAGAAACTAGACCTCATATTAATGCAGTATAATGGATGGATGGATGGATGGATGGATGGATGGATGGATGGATGGATGGATGGATGGATGGATGGATGGGCGGACGGACTACCATTATTTATTACAGTTTCAGTTATTTTGGAATTTTTGTAAGATTTAGTTTTTATTTCAGTTAAGTCAAATATTTATTAATTATAGTGGTAATCCTTTCGTTAGTTTTAGTTAACAACCTTGTTTATAAAAAACAGAGAGAGTGAATAAGTTGGATGGAAAATAAGTTATTTTAAAGTTATTGTGGTTTAATTGTTAGTTTGGAAATCATTCTGCAAGTGAAAATCTAACCCCAGAGAAAAACACACTTTGACTTAAATATTAAATCAAATTCTTTCTTTTTCAGTAATTTATTTATTTTTTTTCTTATTTTGTTTTCTAAAATCCTCCTCTTCATCATCCCCGTCTCCCTCAGCTCTGATCAGCTACATCAGGCCCGTGTTTGTGTTCCGGTCAGATCAGCACTCCCGAAGAAAAACTGTGGAGGAAATCAAACGAAGAGCTCAGTCTGGAGGGAAGTGGCCCCAGGTGTTGTATTCACTTTCTGTCATTTCCAAACTTATCTGATTCAAACCCAGTCAAAGAAACTAAATGTTTTTATTTGTTCCTCTTGTATTTATATGGGTATTACATTTATTGAAATTCCTTTTTCTAGATCATGATATTCCCTGAGGGGACGTGCACCAACAGGTCAGGTCTCATCTTATTCAAACCTGGTATGTGTTCTGTCCCTTACCTGCTATAACACGATTAGGAAACTAAATTACTGATTTTTTTTTTTTTTTTGAAATGTTAAAGCAAATGAAAACAATATTCACATACACTGAGTTAAAAAAGACATTTTTTTCTTATTACAACCTTAAAAATAAAGTTTTAGATAGAACCATAGGTGGTTCTTCACAGTGATGCCATAGGGAAACCTTTTTCTACGAAGAACCATTTATCATAGGGTTCTTTGAAGAACCATAATAGGTACAGACTAAAGATCCTCACAGAAGTAAGTTTAGATTACCAATATGATTGTAATTTGCTAGTCAGTCAGTTTAATAAGAGAAAATGTTTGAGATTTTTATTTCTTACTCTTCATTGGTGGAAGTTTGCGACAGTTTCTTATTAAATATCAGTAACTTTTATCTGTGTAACAGGGATCAAAGGTTTCTTGTAAGCTTCCTTGGTTTTTATTCCATTTTCAGCTGAAAGCACGACTGAAAACACTTTTATTCAACAATACAACAGGATAAGTTTTATTGGGGGAACCTTTCTTAAGCCCCTGTCGCACCTTGACGATTTATACAGCATATCCCTGAAGTCCCAGAAACACCTAAAATGGTGGCATACGTTTAAATTTCTATGCATTTTTTTAATTGTAGGCGTATACATAGATTTTCATAACGGGTCCAGAGCATATGTCCAATGACAGCCTAACTTATGCTTGATGCACGGCAGCGTAATGCTTATTAATATCACAAGCCAGTGTCCTGAGGGGGCAGCAATGCGCCTGGAGGTGCCCGGCCTGTATAAAAAGATTCCTTTGATCACCGTTTTAACCTAGCCGCAGTTTACTGCCTGCCAAAAAGCAAAAAAGGACTAAATAAATAAATAAAAAGAAAGAAAGAAGGTTTGCAGTCGCAGCATATTCATTATTATGTCTGCTAGAAAGTTTGCTGGGCATGGGCGTGAACGCAGGGAGGATGCATCACACTCACCTTCTGCCTCACCCTATGATGCAGTTTGGAGGAGAACTGACGGTTTCCTCCTTTGAACTCTTTTATACCAGAATGTTGCCAATACCCCATTATACAGTAGCCGTAAGTTAGAAAAACGTTCATCGTTCATCTAGAACACGTCAAATACGTTCAGATAAGTTCTTTATAAGTTACGCTTATGCACAAGTTACTCATAGGTTTTGGATGAGGTAGATACCACAACTTATGAGTGACTTACACTTAACGTATGTCAACGATCAGATGACTTCCCTGTACCTTAAGCCCCACGTATGAGCAGAGGCTTTTAGAAATTTTGAGCATGCTCATTTCTCAAAGTACTTGCTGTATGTTGACGTGCCAGCATGCTTCAGCGTACTCAAAACTACAAAACAGACCCATAACTTATCCAACGTATGCCAGCGCTTTTGCTAGATTTTTAGTATGTGCATATGCTGGTCTAAATCGTCAAGGTGTGAGAGGGGTTTTAACTAATTACAAAGTGGAGTAAAATGCAAAAATAAGTCTGAGATCTGTTCTCTTGTTAGAAATGTACATTTCCATCCAGAGTAATAGGTGATGGGTTTACTGTGACAACTACTGTAAAACAGGCAACGGTGTATCTGCATGTTAACACAGCCTCTGTGTGGCTATTTAATTCAGTGCTTGGACTTCTACTTTGTTTTTCTTGACTGGCTCTGACTCCCAGCTTTAATGTCTGCTTATACACAAGTTTAACCCCTTCTATTTTATTTTAGACATGTTTTTCTGCTAACATCCGTGTGGGTGGGGAGGTTACGTGGTCAGCTATTGTCTGATGCCAGCTCATTCTAATCCCCCTTTTTCCAGTCTGTTAATGCAGTCGTTCCCAGTAAGCCCTGTGGGTCGGTGCTGCTCTGGTTGTGTTTGTCTGTCTGTTAAAGCCAACCTGATCTTTCTGCTGTGTGCTGCCAGTCCTCTCTGGACACGTCTCCTCCAGTTATGTCTCTCTGTGCAGTGCTTCAGCTTTGCCAGGATCTGAGAGTCTGTATTTATAAAGGCAGTTTTGCCTCCTTTGAGCTAACAATTCAATGTTGTCCTTCCTGATTTAAACCAGTTTTTGGTGTCTTCCATTTGTCCTCCATCCTTGCCCTTCCTCCTCCTCTCCTTTCCTGTCATTAGTCGGATTACAATGACACAGAGCTTTGTCACACTTTATGCACTGTCATTCAGCTCTGGATAAATCAATGATTTCTACCCCCATTCCTTCCCACTTAACTTTGATGTCTCTTTTATACCCAAGATGAACTGGTTAAGTTCATCTAAGTACTTTTACTCATAATATACACTACCGTTCAAAAGTTTGGGGTCACATTGAAATGTCCTTATTTTTGAAGGAAAAGCACTGTACTTTTCAATGAAGATAACCTTAAACTGGTCTAAACCTTAAAGAAATACACTCTATACATTGCTAATGTGGAAAATGACTATTCTAGCTGCAAATATCTGGTTTTGGGTGCAATATCTACATAGGTGTATAGAGGCCCATTTCCAGCAACTATCACTCCAGTGTTCTAATGGTACAATGTGTTTGCTCATTGGCTCAGAAGGCTAATTGATGATTAGAAAACCCTTGTGCAATCATGTTCACACATCTGAAAACAGTTTAGCTCGTTACAAAAGCTACAAAACTGACCTTCCTTTGAGCAGATTGAGTTTCTGTAGCATCACATTTGTGGGGTCAATTAAACGCTCAAAATGGCCAGAAAAAGAGAACTTTCATCTGAAACTTGACAGTCTATTCTTGTTCTTAGAAATGAAGGCAAATTGAAGATTTCCTACAACGGTGTGTACTACTCCCTTCAGAGGACAGCACAAACAGGCTCTAACCAGAGTAGAAAAAGAAGTAGGAGGCCGCGTTGCACAACTGAGCAAGAAGATAAGTACTTTAGAGTGTCTAGTTTGAGAAACGGACGCCTCACAGGTCCCCAACTGGCATCTTCATTAAATAGTACCCGCAAAACAGCAGTGTCAACATCTACAGTGAAGAGGCGGCTGCAGGATTCTGAGCTTCAGGGCAGAGTGGCAAAGAAAAAGCCATATCTGAGACTGGCCAATAAAGGAAAAAGATTAATATGGGCAAAAGAACACAGACATTGGACAGAGGAAGACCGGAAAAAAGTGGATGGATGAATCCAAGTTTGAGGTGTTTGGATCACAAAGAAGAACGTTTGTGAGACGCAGAACAAATGAAAAGATGCTGGAAGAATGCCTGACGCCATCTGTTAAGCATGGTGGAAGTAATGTGATGGTCTGGGGATGCTTTGGTGCTGGTAAGGTTGGAGATTTGTACAGCATAAAAGGGATTCTGAATAATGAAGGCTATCACTACAATTTGCAACACCATGCCATACCCAGTGGACAGCGCTTGATTGGAGCCAATTTCTTCCTACAACAGGACAACAACCCTAAACACACCTCCAAATCGTGCAAGAACTATTTAGAGCAGAAGCAGGCAGCTGGTATACTATGGGTAATGGAGTGACCAGCGCAGTCACCAGATCTGAATCCCATTGAGCTGTTGCAGGAGCAGCTTATCCGTATGATACGCAAGAAGTGCCCATCCAACCAATCCAACTTGTGGGAGCTGCTCTTGGAAGCATGGGGTGCAATTTCTCCAGATTACCTCAACAAATTAACAGCTAGAATGACAAAGGTCTGCAATGCTGTAATTGCTGCAAATGGAGGATTCTTTGGTGAAAGCAAAGTTTGATGTAAAAAAAAATCTTATTTCAAATACAAATCATTATTTCTAACCTTGTCAATTTCTTGACTCTATTTTCTATTTATTTCACAACGTATGGTGGTGAATAAGTGTGACTTTTCAGGAAACACAAAATTGTTTGGGTGACCTCAAACTTTTGAACAGTAGTGTACACTCTTACACAGTTGCGGCTGGTGGAGTTTTCTCCATGGGGGTGCTATAAATTCAAAGTAGACATATACCAAAAACCAATCAAATGTATACTAAGTATACTAAATAAATAAATAAATAAATTCCAGGAGTCCCAAAGCCATTAATTCTGCCGATGCTGATTGGCCAAATGTTTATTAATTTTCCATAGCAACATTATACAATTGGTTATTTTCCTACATTTCAGGGCACTTTGAATGAGCGCCCAAGAAGAGAAATGATATGTTCTGTTGGTGGAAATGCACTGTTGAATGAGAGTCAATTGGTAGATGTGTTTTTTTAATAATTCATATTACATGTAGCCACATACTATTAAGTAAAACTGACATTGATAATACTTTTATTATCTATATATATTATGACTTTTCCCCTCCATATCTAGGGAGGGCAGCCTCCGAGCACCCCCTATGGACCAGCCGCCACTGCTCTGATAACACTACTTTATATTTACCTTTTTCCTGCACATTGCACCATCAGTATATTTCCTTATAAAGGTCCAATGATTTGGAATGGATGACCTCCTTCATTATGATCCATATCTTCCTATACAGTTTTCAAAAAGCAGCTAATAATACATTTTATCTCCTCACGAATTTCCCTTTGTATATATATTAATTCCTTCATGCATTATATTCTTTTGTCGTAATTCTTAATATAATTTTCTCATTTCCTTTTTTATTTTTTTAACGATTCCTTTTCTCTTTATCTCTGTTATTGCAGTTTTTTTTTTTTTTGCTAATCAAATGTTGATGCTGTATGCACTTTTGTTTTTTTTCTCATATTATGTTCATTTTTTTCAACCAGAAAAATGTATCTTGCTTTAACTGAGAGTGGTGGAACATGTGCAAAACAATCGGCTCCGTTCCCTCCTTGCACCATTGCAATGATCTGTCTGCAAAAGAGATCAAGTCAAATCAAATAGTACTATTGTAATAAATAAATGGGCATATATGCTTTAATTCCACTGTTAATTATCAAAAACATTGATTAATGATATTTATTGCTTCATGTTGAGTTATTTTTTTATTTATGTAATCTTAATTGCAAAGTAATTCACATTGTATCATCATGTAATATCTTCAGTCTTGTTTCATGAAAGGATGTTAAACAAAATGTAAAAAAAGAACTCTACAGGTTCACCACAAACCTGTAGAGAAGCAGGTTTGTGAAATATCGGATCAGCTGTGAAAGACCTGCAATTAAGTTATACACTGAGCCTTTTTTTCACAGTTTATATTGACATTACGAAGCCTTCAAAGGGAACACTAAAGCCTGAAAAGCACTTTCCTGAAGCCATTAATACTGCATGTAGCTTTTCAGCTTGTCTGTCATCATCATGATACATTAGAGCTCCAATAGGGAAGCTGTCTGCCACTATAACATGCAGTGTTATTGTCACTAAATGACACACAGACAGAGGATTGGTTTTTGTTCTCACTCTAATTTCCTTCCTTATATTTCTATGTTTAAAAGGTGCTTTCATCCCAGGACTCCCAGTGCAACCAGTGGTTCTACGATACCTAAACAAACTGGTAAGCGTCTCATTGTGCAGAGACTCTTCTTTCATCCCTTTATATGGCGGCTTTCATACCTGTATCCCTGTCTGATCTGGACTCCGCGCTTTGTGCTAACGGGTGTGCACGGCGAACCGCCGCTGATGTAATGGTTGCTGCTGTTCTCATCAGGGTGCGTTTCCCTCTCGTGTCGATTGACTACGTGTTCCAGCGGGATGATATTTCACCCGTTTGTCTCTCGTCATGCACACACGTTAGCACGCACGCTCACAAGCGTGCATGGACAGGTCTCACCCTCCCACACGCACACACAGAGCACTGTTCCACACGCTCTCATAAATAATGCAGCTCTTATTACCTGGTTTTGCATGTGTTTCCCTAGAAAGCCTTTCTTTCAACTTCTCCCTTTAGTCGTTCCACAGTTTACTGACAGCTGCCATCAGTTCAATGAGTCAAACCAAACCACTTCCCTGTGCGTTCATTTGCTTAGTGAATTTCACAAACCGTTTCCTACTTATATGAGTATATTAATTGTACATTCAGCAGGAGCATTATTTGGACTCAGATTATGTTATTTCAGTTTCAATCAGCAACATCAGCCATTTGTGTTTGTCGTAACTGAGTTTTTCCGTCTCTGCAGGACACTTTTTCATGGACATGGCGCGGCCCTGGAGCGTGAGTGTCTTTCTGTGCATGATGCGGCGTGTCATGCACACACACACTGTCATTAGTTACACAACCCTTGACTTTGTTCACCACAACCTTTAGCTTATTATATCGGGATTTTTTTTTTTTTGTAGTAGACTAACATTAATTTGAGGTGGTAAGATAATTCATGTTTGTTTGTTTTTTATCTAAGAAAATCTGAATAGTGTGGCTCATCTCTCTGTCCGGCCACTCTGAATCTTCTACGGTAGATCTACCAGCTTTAAAGATCAGTTAGAAAGTCCTTATTTGTTCATTGTCAGGTATTCTGAAAGATTCTCATCTTATTTCAAGTCTGGAATATGACTTGTATGACTTGGACTTTCTAACATAAAGAAAAAGCTTTGTTCTAAACCAGACCATTGTAGCTCTGGTTCTGCTGGAATTCTCAGCAGTCTAATGTCTTTTTACAGTCGCTAACTGGTTTGCCTCCAGGATTGCTCTGTGTTTACCTTCAACCAGACATTTAATCTAGGCATCCCCAGAGTCGGTCCTTGAGGGCCGCTTTCCTGCAGGTTTTATAGGTTTCCCTGCTTTGGCACAGCTGATTATGATGATTGCAGTTCAGCAAAAGCCAGTTAATCAGCAGTCAATGAAAACCAGCTGTGCAGAAGAAGGGGGAAACCTCCAGGACCAACTTGGGGGATTTGAATTTAATCCATTGGACTCCTAGTTTTTAGCTCTCCTGTAGAAGAGCATTCCCACATCATGATTTGACCACCGTCATGTTTAACAGAGGGGATGATGTAATTCATCTTTCATAGCTTCCTTCTTATTAATCTTTTAGAACTCCTTTTCTGACTCTGAAGTCTTTAGGTGGTCGGCCATTTTGGTTCATTTTAAGCTGGACTATACTCTCTTAATTTTCAGAGGATGCACAAAACAAGATCTTCTAGATGCTCAGAATAATGTTTTATATTCTCAGCCATCATTATTTGCCTGGCCTGTCTGCTGTGTTACCTGGTCTTGGTTCTCTAATAAGGCCTTTAAAAGGACAGCTGCATTAATATTGGCATTTAAGGTCACACAGCCTGGCTTACATTTGTCATTTATGTTACTTGTTATGGCTGCGATAAATTTTATTTAGGAGAATAAGTTGCGTCTCTTTTTCTGCTTTATCAATAATGCTCTTCAGATCAAAATCCTTCATAAAATACACTTCGTTTTGTAGTAGTAATATGGAATTAAAGGGGTTGGAGAATTTTGGCACCAGTAATCTGTTTTTTTTATTATCAAAATGAAAACAAAAACTGCAGAATTAGTTTTATTTTTTATGTTTTTTCTTTAGGTTGAAGATTTTATGGCTCACTCTGTGTCAGCCTCATAACTCTGTAGAGATTGAGGTGAGCGGTTATAAAGTCTGAGAGTTTTCTCCGTAGCATTTATATTCCATAAATAAACTGGATCAGCTCGATAGGCATGCCTGTTACTGTGTTTGAAATCCTCTCTCTCTGTGTCTATAGTATTTACCCATCTATTATCCATCAGTGATGGAGAGAGAAAACCCTGCTCTGTTTGCCAGCAACGTCAGGAGGCTCATGGCCAAGTGAGTGTGAGTGGATGTGTTTGCACGAGTAGCAGGGAACACATCATCTCCACTTGTTTAATTTGATGGTTTAAAACTAACAGACCTTTTATCATTTCTGTTGAAATGTCCTCTCTGTTCTGGAAGGGCGTTGGAGGTGCCCCTCACAGACCTGTCCTTCGATGACCGGGAGATCATCCTGTCACGTGGCCCGCTGAGAATACACGACTGCAGCAGCCTGCTGCACTTCAACCAGCTTGTGTGTCGTCTGGGGTAAGTAAAGGGAGAGCAGTTGGACTTGTTGAACAGGGTGGTGAGAGGATGTAGGCTCAAAGTATATGAACACTGACCCCTGCTGGTGGAAGGACATAAACACACCCTGATAGAGCAATATTAAATCATTTTAAAAGAAATCAACATTTTACTTTTTTTGTCAGCTAAAATTGCAGGATTATGAATGTATAAATATGATGCTGGAGTGTAGCTGAGGTTGAACTTATGGATTTTGTACAGTTTTCACCATTTCGTAAACTCAATTCCTGTATGTAGAAGTGTCAAAAGTAATCATATACTTTAGCTGATAAAAATTCAAACAGATACCTGTGTGGAGAAAAAAAGGTGTGGTTGAAAGGACCTGCTAAACTTTTTTAATTTTTTAGTAAAATTTTAAAAGTACAAGTTCTACAATATATTTAAGTACAAAAGTAAAATTAGATTTCTACCCCACGTCTTTTTAAAATTGGTCTTTAAAAACAGTTCTACACACAGAGACCAGGTTCATCATTATTCATTTTCTCACTGTGTTGGTAGAAAACATAAAATTAATGATTTAGTTAATGCAGTTCTAAATAGGCATTTTGTGCTATATTTAGAATAATTTAGGATGAACTTAACAAATGTTCTGCATAAGTGGTTGAATCCTTTTCATAGCTCTAGTTTCAACAATAAGAGTTGAAAAACAAAATCAAGACAGAACTTGAATCATAATCAACATGTTTTATTATGATTAATTTCCCATCTAATAAGTGACCAATGTCTTGGTTCTCAGCATCTGATCCATCATCTGCGACGCCTCTTTGTCTTCGACCATGTGTCTGTCAGTGGTTTTCTGTAAACTTGATCGAACTGGACTGATTCCTCTCACTCTCTTAAATTCTTTTAAATTTCTCTCGGTTTTGTTGCCGGTGTTACATAAGGTCGATATAAATATGTGTAGAGAAGTAGGTTTGCAGAAATCAAGAAGTATAAAGTAAAAATGTTTGTATTCAAATGGAGGGCACAAAAGTAAAAGTCCTCAGCAAAACAAAGAACAGATAGAGGAGAAAAAAGCTACTTAAATACGCTAACTAAGTATTTCTACTTAGTTATTAGACATTTGTTAATATTACAGCTTTTTGATGATCATTTTGTTTCATATCAAAAATATTCATACATTTAGGTTTGGATTTAGAATCAAAATACATAACAAAAAACAGAGGTTTTCTTTCCTTAAATGATAAAAATAAATAGTTGGACTGAATCATACTGTGTAATGTCCAGGATAAAATGATCTAACTTTGAAATAATAGAATAATGGTTTCCAGTGTGGTTTGCTTTGCAGGACTGCTTCCAGTGAATGCTAATGTGAAACAAAAGAAAGCATGCCCACAGCATAATACTGCCACCCCCTTGTTTCATACTGGCCTGCTCAGGGTGTTATGCAGGGATGATCTTATGGTGTTTTGATTATAGAGCATGCAGTCTGGATTGGGTCCAATTAGGCCAAAGCAACTTCTTCCAAATGTTTGCTGCATTCAACGCATCCCTTCACAGTGAAGTTCTACTCTCTGAAATATTGTGTTTATCGCAAACATTTATCAAAAATATTACAGTTTGACAGTTATGGTGATAATAAAGCAGGTGTATCAGTCTGTTAGTAGTTTTTACATTTAAGACAACATGCAGGGAAGTAACATTAATAAAAATGGTCCATAAATATAATCATGTCTCTATGCCAATTTTGAGAGTTAGATTTTTGTCTTAGTTTTATTTTACTAACTATCTACTAACTAACTATCCTACCAGTTTTTTTTAAACTTTCACTTGTGCTTTTATCATGGCAGGTTAAAAACAAGGACCAGAGATGGCCTGCTTGAAGAGGAGGCCAGGAGAGCCACGAAGCTGCAAGGGGATGAACTGGGACTGGAGGACTTTGCTCAATTTCTTAACCTCCCAGTAACAGACATGCTCAGAGAAGTGCACAAACTCTTTGATCAGGTAGGAATCAGGAACAGAGACACCTTGACAGCTTCTAATTTTCAGGAATTATTTCTCTTTAGAATATTCAAGCTGTATATTAGCTAAGGGCCAAAAAAAAAAAAAAACACTTTTGTGTTTCTCATACAAAAACAGGCGTCTTTATTTAAAATTATTTCTTAAATATCTGGTCTGGTCCAACAGTTGTTAAGCAAGAGGCAGAGACAGGACAGACAACCAACCAGTTATGTTTTTGGACTGGTACTAATGGAAAATCTGTGCTGTGCATGCAAAGGGAGAATATGATAACTCTATGCAGGCCAGGAGCATTACAGAAAAAGAAATAAAAAATGTAGATGCATAATAATGAATTAAAGCACCAGTCAAACTGGTGCAGATAAGCATGAGACTGCTTCCTGTTCTTTGTTCACTAAATTTGCCCTTTATGCCAGACTGGTGATGGGAAGATAGACGTCAGACGTTATATCACTGCTCTCTGTACGGTACAGTGGCCTCATAAACCTCTGGACACATTAAAACTGGCCTTCAAGGTGAGGACTTCCAAAAACAGCCTTAGTTTGACCTTATTAGTGTTTTTAGTTTTCTTCTTCGTTTTGATGTCTGTGTTTAAACATTTCTGTTTGTAGATGTATGAGGCTGAGGACAGCGGGGAAATCGAAGCGGAGGATCTGGCTGTCATCTTGGAGATAATGTTGGGAGTAAAAGATGTTGATCTCAGTCCTCTGTTTCTTGAACTTCAAGCAGCCAACACTAGAAAGATCACTTATGGTAAAGCTCAGATTTTCTGGATAACTTGCTTTGTAAGGCCTTGCAAAAGTCTTTTTTTTTTTTTTTATATTATGAATAATTACCTCCATGTCAAATTAAAAACTGAAGATTTTTTTCCTGAGTGTACAAATCTGTTTGTGTTGGAAAACATGCAATGATCTGCATTGTAAAGCATGGTGGTGGCAGTATTATGCTTTTCAGCAGGGAATCCGGTAACAAAACCTGTTAGCGTTCAGAAGACACCATTTTATCTTCCTGTAAGATTCCAGCCCTAAATATCCATGTGTAAGAATAGACCTGAACCCAGCAGCGTATATCGGGAGTAGATGGTCAGATGCTTTTATCCAGTCTTGCTCAGCTTGGGCTGCTTTTTCCTTTTAAACCATGTATAATTTTCCGTTTTTTTATTCTCTTCTTTCATAAAATCCCAATAAAACAGACATTTTGGCTGCAATATCAAAAAGTAAGAGGCATAAACACCTTTAGAGGTATGGATCTATTTGCACTACAACTGCATGCATAGTATTTACAGGTGGATGAAACCGAGTGAGTTTTAACTGATGGTTTCTCTGAACATGTCCCCTGCTTATACATCTGGGCTGCCTACATAGCTTTTGATTTCTTCTTGGCTATGGTGTGAAAAAACGAATGCCATCTGCCTGGGATTTTATATTCACCGCCTGCTTTACAGACAAACTGTCAAATCCTTAAATAAATTACCATCCAATTTATGTTATACAATCCAAAAGATTACAGATTTGTTTAGACAGAGGGATGGACACTTTAGATTGCAATCTGTTGGACTGAAAAGGATTTCTTTACTTTAGGAATTAATCAAATGTGTTGTTTTAGTTTTTATCTTTTTCTTTGGTGTTTGAAAATAATTTGAATCATTTCTTATGTCCTAGATGAGCTTCAGTGTCTCATAAAGCGGCATCCGGACTTCTCTGTGGAGTTCCTCAGTTTTAAGGATCATCCAGGCAGCGGCTGCATTGGGCGACTCAAAAGCTGCAATGGCCAGAGCTTAAACAAAGATGACTGAAAGATGCACTCTTTTTTTTGTGTGTGTGTTTGGTTCCATGTTTATATCTGAATGTTGTAAATCTTCTGCCACCTCTGTGCCTCACAGTGTAGGGAATGGAAGAGTCAATCTTTAAAGAGGTTGTCTATCCTCCAACTCTTCATTGGCTTTTCTTTGCCTTTTATTTTAGAACCTACTTTGATGTAAAGAATCCTTTTTTAAAAATATAAATGAGTAATTTATGTCTTATTCTAAAAGTTCAGATACATGGGAGGTCAGCCGATTTATACTTTTGTCTTAGTTGAAAGCTCTCAGGTATAGCAGATACCAGCATTTAGACATCTTTACTTTCAAATATAAACAAAGAACATTTTCAGGTTCGGAAAAGTGACTACTTGCTTATTAACTGTTGTATGCAATGAATGGAAAAAGAAGAAGTGTGCTATATGAAAACCAGCTTAAAATGGAAATCTGTTATGCAATGACAGACTATAAACTTAAAAAAAGAGCATTTTTTTCTTTATAATTGCTTTTTAAATTGCTCTTGTTGGTAATAGTATGGAAGATGTATATAATATAGCTAATAATTGAAAGTAAACAAGAGACCAAAGATGCATTAATCTGACTGTTGATCAAATATTTTGTTTCTGTGGTCAAAAATTACATTACAAGTTCATATTATTGTTTCTCTTGTTTTGGTGTTTTTTCTAAGCAGCTCTTTTTGTTTAATACCTTGGCAATAAGTGTAGAATCATTATGTAATATAATTGATTTTTTTCTTTTAAAAGAAATTGAACATCTTTTTTTATTGTTGCTTCCCTACTTTGTTCTTTCTTAAAAGGTTTGTGTTAAAAACAAACTCAAAAAATATCTATCCTGCTCTGTTTTAGTAGGAATCAGTCACACGTATATCAGATGTTGCCGCTTTTATAATAATACAGTTGTAATTCTCTGATTTTGAGCAACGTAAATTTCTGCTTTTTGACCACCAGGTGGAGCTTTGCTTTCACTCATTCAC